TAATACTTACTGTTACAGTAGATCTAGGCTGAAAAACAAAACAAAATCTTATGAGACATCAAGAGCGAGCACACAGCTTCGACTAAACAATCCCACTGGTGTTGTGCGACTGTCAATTGTTTCGCAGCCAATTCAAACTTATGTTCCAGAACTAAAAATCGAGTAGAGTACGCACCTCCATATAAGCTCAAAGGAATCAAAGCGAGACCTCAAAGTTGTGCGATAGTTTAGTCAAAGGTGTACGCACGCTCTAAGTACAGTTTCTATAAGTTAAGTTAAGTTTCTATATACGAGTAGCCCGCTCTCAAATGATTTGCGCGGAGCTGTCACTAATTCAAATATTGTAATAGCTATTCATGCCAGGTACTGGCGTACAAGTATTCCAGTAAATCAATACTTCTATACTTAATATAATAAAGAGGAAAGATTTGTATATATTGTAATAACTCAAAAACGGTTGGGCTAATTTAAAAAATTCTTGCATCATTAAAAAGCTACGTTATCAGTAAGTAACATAGGCATACATTTTTTAATATCACGCGGTCGAAGCAATAGCTAGTTATTGAAAAGACTTACTCTCTTCAATTGCATGTGGTTGTAAGAAGGCAAACATACTTCAATGTTATCCAATTTGATGCACATTTCATTAGCTTCGTGGAACTGAAATAATATTGTCTTGCTTTTTAATACGAAACAGTTTACCAGTGGTAAAGCCCGCTTTAACATCTTCGCACTGTAGGGTCGGCTAACCCCCAGCAATACCACGACCACACAGAAAACAGACGTGAAGTGGATGCAATTCCGCGTACAGTCCGATGAGTCTGGTGCGGGAAGCCTAATTTTTCTTATTAGAATGGAATGGAAAGGGTTTTGACGGTGAAGGAGACGCGAAGGAAGGGGAACATCTTTTTATGTGCGTCTCTTCCTCCGTCCATTAACGCAACGCACATGCTATTGCGGATGTCTATGGACAGCGGTCGCTTCGCCAGTTTGGTGGATTCAGTGTTGTCGTGAAACGTTTAAAAAACTTATGAATCTTTTAACGATATATTCTACACTAGCTTTCTCCCACGACTCTGTTCTCGTGGAATAATAAACACAAAAGTGAGTAGCCTATGTGTTCTTCCAGACTAACCTCTACATCTATACCAAATTTCATCAAAATCAGTTTAGCTGTTTAGGCTACAAACTCTAACCAACATCCATCCATCTATACTTTTGCTTTTATATTAATACTAGCTTTCGCCCGCGA